GGCCTCCTCGCTTGTGCAAAACTCCAGTTGGTGGAGAGAAAAGCCGGGGCAATCCCCGGACGATGGCAGTGTCCTGGGAGGAATATTTCCGACTGGCCTTGCAAGCGAAACTGTGAGTGAGAGGCAGAGCTGGGACAGCAGGAGCTGGTCGGAGGGCTCACCCCGGCACCCGGGCCCTGGCCTCTTTGGACCGCTCCTGGTGGACGGTTATTAGGCCCCCACTTCACAGTGGGAGACACTGAGGCTCAAGGAGAAATGGTGGCTTCCCCCAAGCCGGGGATTAGGGCAGAGCTGGGTCAACAGCCCAGGTCTCTAACTGGTGCTCATCTCCACCCCCAGCTGACACCCCGGAGAGTCAGTCCTCTCACCCCCGCCCCCCGCAAACTCTGTACATCAGACGAGTGGCAGCAGCTTGCCCTGTGTCGGCTGGGGTTGGTGGCGCCACCGCGGGTCCCAAGCGCAGTCCCAGAATCTGTGAGATGAGAGGACTCCTTTGGGCCAGAGTGGGAGCACCTTGCTGCGTGGGTCTTCGTGCATGCCTTCTGTCCCCGCGCCCCTGACCCTGGGGGCCACGTCCAGCCCCTTTTCTGACGCCAGCACCCAGCCTCCTCCCGGGCCCTCCATCTCATGCTCAACTTGGCCATAGCAAGGAACTGGTCTCCCACATCCCAGATGTGCTCCCCCCAAGACTTCCGTGGCAACATCCTTCCAGCTCCAGGTCTGGATTATCGCTGAGCCCCGTCACTCGCCTCCTGATGCCCAGCTCCTTCTATTGCCCTTGCTCCCCAGAGGGACCCTCCTCTGCTCAAAGCCCTTCCATGGCTCCTACCTGACTCAGTCAAGGCCAAAGTCCGCCTCTGCCAGGCCCCACCACAAGCTGACCCTCACAGCCTCTGGGACTCCATCCCCATCTCTCCTTCTCCCTCCCTCCCCTCCAGCTCTCCCACCTCCTCTCTCCTCCCGTGCACCCAGCTCCTCTCGGGCCTTGGCATTGGCGGTTCCCTCAGCCTAGAATCTCTTCCCTGCAATGTTATTCTTCTTTTTCCTTCAAGTCCCCGGTGAAATGCCACCTCCTCAGAGAAACCTTTCAGCCTCTCTTTCAGTCAAAGATTTCCTTTGGTCACCTTAGCACCTTCCATGCCCCAGAACCATTATTCTTTATTTCTATCCCATGGGGATACAAGGATTTTTGTGTCTTGTTCACCCCTGCACCCAGAACAGTGCCTTGTGCTCAGGGTGACTTCTGGGGTCACTCCAGGCACTAGCAGGAGTTTGGGGGGCCTTGACTTTTGCTACCTTCACCACCACCTCCTCCTTGAGCCCCCCAGAAAGACACTGGAGCAGGATGTGGGCCACTTCCCACCCGTGCTGGGACTGCTGGAGAAAAGGCGGGAGCTGGAAGATGCAGACCGGGCCTTGCGGGCCCAGAAGGAGGTGAGCTCTCACTGAGTCCCTGAGACTCTGGGATCCCAGACATAATAATAATAATAATAATAATGGCAGTGAACAGGGAGATCAGAAGTGATGGAGCCAACTTGTTAACTACAAGGTCTGAGACAGGTCATTTCACCCTTCTCAGCCTTGGTTTCCTCAGCCTTGGTTTTCCTCAAATGGGTAGCAAATGAGATCAGTTGTTGGTGTAAATAATTGTGTATTGAGCACCTACAATGTGCTGAGATCTAGCAGTCTCACCACAATCCTAGCCCTCATGGGGCTCATGGACTAGAGAAGACAAACAACTGGCCTGGGAGACTGCTGGGGGGTAAACACTGAGCAGGAACTGTGGGAGCCCAGAAGAAGTTCCTAACTCCACATGGGGTAGTCAAGGAGGGCTACCTGGAGGAAGCGGTGACTTAGAGATTGCTGAATGGGAGGTCAACAGCAAAGGGAGATGGGCCAGGAGGGAAAAGGGCAGAGGGACCAGCATGCACAAAACCTGAAAGATAAGGACAAAGCACATGTGGTCAAGGGGCTGGAGTGAGGATGACAGGGAAGAGAAGGCAAGAGGAGACCAGAAGGAAAGGCAAGGACCTGACAAACAGGAGCTGCAGGGGGCCGGGAGGCCTTCCTCAAAGGGTAGGGAGAGCCGTGTGTGGATTTGAGCAGGGGTGCAGCAACAGATCAGGGGCAACAGAGGCTTGAGGTTAAGTGTGAGCCCGAAAGGATTTGGATGAGTCGACTCTTCAACATTGACACCCACTCCTCACCCCCCAGGTGTTCCAGACCACCAAGGCAGCCCTGAAACTGTGCTGGCAGCAGTTGGAGCAGAAGGAGCAGGAGCTGAAGGGGTCCTTTGTCCGATTTGACAAGTTTCTGCAGGTGGGTGCAGACTACTGGGAGGCAGGTCACTCGAGCGGCAAAATCACAGCCCCATAGAGGCCAGACAGATCACATAAATATAAAAAGTGCACTTACGAAAAGGGGGTGTCTGGGAAACAAGGATGCACTGCTCCAAGCATTTGACTTTAAAAAGTAGAGGGAGACAGGCCTCCTCGGTGGTGCAAGGGATTAAGTCTCAACACTGTGAAGCTCTCGCCAGCTACAGCAGCAGGAGTTCAATCCCAGCCAGGGAGCTGACCCACAGGGTGCAGCAGACCTCTCCAGTGCAGCCCTCAGCTCCCCTTAGCAGTATATTTTAGTGGCTCTGCCTGTTCTGCTCCCCACTTACCTCCCGCACCTCTGGCCTGTACCCCAGCTCTTACATGCATAAATAAATAAGAAAATCTTTAAAATAAATAAATAAAAAGTAGAGGGTCACAAGGGAGAGGATGCGACCAGGAGCAGAGTCTGCTGAATTTGCCCCAGAGCCAACCGTTTGCCGCCCTTAGAGAAATTTTGGGGCGGTCTGCAAGCTGTGAGTCCCGCAAGCTCCCGTGTCCTGGGGGGTCGTCGCCTCCTCTCCTTGTCCACTCCCTAGGACGCCGAGGCCCGTCGTGGCCGCGCGCTGCGGAGGGCGGCGGAGGAGCGGCACCGCGCGGGCCGCCAGGAGGCCGAGGCGCTGCGGCTGCGGGCCCAGCTCGCCGAGCTGCAGCGGGAGCGCACGCGGCTGCAGCGCCGGCAGCAGCGCCTGGAGCCCTGCGCGCACCTGCTGGAGCAAGCGCTGGAGCAGCTGCCGGAGGTGAGAGGCCTGCGGCAGGTACCGGGCTGATCGCCGCCCTTGCGCGGCGCGAGGGGCTCAGGCCAGCTTGGGAAGGGCACGCTACTGGGCCGCTGTGTGCCAGGAGCCACCACCTATTGAGCATTTACTGCACCACGGACAGGCGTGCTCTTGAATTACCTCCACGGCGCGGTGAATGGGACCCGTTATTATCAAGCCCATTTTACAGATGGAGAAACTGAGCCTGGGAAAGTAACTGGCTCAGGGACGCACAGTCAGGCAGGTGGGAGAGAGAGGGAGGAGCCAGGCACTCAGGGAGTATCAGTTGAATGAACAAGAAATTAACGTTAATAACAGGCAGTGAGGCTTGGCGTATGCAGAGGTGGAGGGGAGCCCCAGTAATCCCCATATCTGGGGGGGGAGGGGGAGGCTGTACGATGCCCCCGTTTCACACTCAGCTGAGGCACTGCAGGGCCAGGCCGAGTGGGGGCTGGAGGTTCGAGCGAGCACACCCTCCAGTTCCAGGAGGTCTCGGAGCTGGTGGCACGCTTCGAAGGCCTGGCCGACACGCTAGCGGCTCTGAGGACCACAGAGTGCCAACAGCTGGCACAGCTGGAGGAGGCGCGCACACGGCTGCAGCGGCTCCAGGATGCCTGGCAGGACGAGCTGCTTCGGCAGGGGCAGCAGCGGGCGCAGCTACTGGAGCGCCTGGAGGCTGCGCGGGAGAACACGTTGCACTGGGTACACTCGGCAGGCGGAGGTGGGCCCCGAGTCCCTGCCCGGAGCCCCATTCCAGTCCTGCGCTGGCAGTGGAGGAGCGCAGGATGGCTAAGAGCAGCTGGGGTACACTAATGGGAGATTCCAGCACAGTCTCCCCCAGATTCACTGCCCTGTCTCCCCCAGAGCATCAGGAATGCCCACCCCCTGCGGTCTCCCTGCCAGAACCCACCAGCATCCGGTGGGGAATGAGGCCCCAGAGCCCTCTGACCAGCGTATACCTTAATAAGGGGGTGGGGTGCTCCCCAGGAATCCAAGTGGATTCAGATCCAGAACACAGCAGCTGAGAAGACCCTGCTCCTGGGACGGACCCGGATGTGGGCACTCAACATGTTCCAGCTGGTGTGCCAGCATCAGAGGCAGCCACTGGCCCTGGACCCGGAGGACACTGAGGGTCAGCTGGAGCAGGTGAGGCCCCTTTTCATGTCATCTCCAGCCCCCGAACCTTCTGGAACATCATGGTGCCTGAGATCCCACCTTCTCTGGAGTAGGCACGATCTTCTGAGGTCAGAGCCCGGGAACGGGCTGCATGGCCGCGGGGCCCTCCTGCCTGGTGGTCCTGGCTCGTCTGGAGCCTGTCTGCTGTGTGGTCAGGACGACGGGCTCTGTATAGTGGTGCCAGCCTTTCTACCAAGGTCCACAGCACTAACCAACCGCAATATCAGAGCAAAATCAGGAGGTGCAGGATCACTTTTAATGAGTCCCTGACTCTCACCTCCAACCGTGCACAGGCTGAGGCCCCCCTCTGGAGGGCCGGGTTGTGGGGGCCTTTCATTCTGCACTGCAGGGCCACCAAGGACTCACTCCCTGCAGGCAGAGCGCTGGTCAGAATTCAGTTCATTTTCAGGGCACTTATTTTTCCAGGGATCCCCTATACGAGCTATTTTCTTCTATTTTCAGTGGGGAGTTTCCCTCTCAGATTGTAGTTCAGTGACGAACGTGGAAGGAAAGCCCACAGGTAAAGCTCGCCAAGTTCCAGCCTCCGCAGTGGGCCGATGGGTGCTCACGGAGCGCATGTCAATAAGCTAATTAAGACAAAATAAAGGCGGGCTTCCCGTGGCGAAGATGGCAGCAGGTCGTCCATCAAGTATGACTGATCCAATTAAAAGGGAAAAAAATGGTGTAAATGAAAAATGCTAATTTAATTATACAGGTGATGGTGATCTGCTACTGAATTGGGGAGGGTCGGACTGAGGCTTTGAGAACCCAGAACGGTGTAGGCTGGGTTCACTGTCCCTGGGACCCCTTTTATGGGGTCTCTACCCCCCACCACTGCTTGGCAGCCCCCTCTCCCTGGTGTTGGGGGGTGGGGAGCTGAGCAGGCTCAGGGCCTGGCTGTGACTTTGGCCGTGTCGGTAACTCCCCAGGTGAAGCTGTTCATCCTGGACCTCACCTCCATGCTGGCCAGCCTTGGTCAGGCCGAGCCCGCCACCTCCAGCTCCTAGCACTGCGCAGGTGAGCAGTTGGTTAGTGGGGGGCCCTTGAGGGCTCTGCCCCTGGAAGACAGTGGCCACATCTCCTTTGGGGTGAGGGTTGCGTGGCTCTCCCCACACGCGGTTCCCCACCTGGACTGCGATGGGGATACACGAGGCACAGGAGAGGACAGTGGGCCCTTGAACAACACTGGGGTCTGGGATCTGACCCCCGGGTATCCAAAGGCCAGGCAGGATTTAAGTATCCACAGGTCCAAGTCCTCAGACTCAACCAACCGACATCCAAGGTCAGTCAAATCTGTGAATGCAGACCCCAAGGTACCAAATAAACCGTGTATGTGGACCCCACAGTTCAAACTCACTACTGGGGCTTGCCCTTGGCCTCCCAAGTAGGGGCGGGGAGCACGGACAGGCTGACCTCTGGTGTGCAGTGCGGCAGAGCTAACCCCTCTCAGTCCGGTCCCCCAGCCCTCAGTCCTCTCCAGTCGCCAGTGGTCCTAGCAGGAGGCAGGGGAACTGACCACCAGCTTCTGACTTGTCACCTCAGGTTGGTGACCTGTCCCGTGGGCCTCATTTTCCTCATCTGTGAAATGGAGACAGCAGCAGAGCCCACCCTCGGGGCCGGGGTGGGGTCATACCAGACTCACTCACAGGCCCCGACCTGGTCTGGCCCTTTGGACGCCTGAGCGGACCGTGCTCCTGGCCCATGAGATGTGCTCAATAAAGGTTTATTACATTATAAATACATCACGGAGCCGAGGCACCCAGGTTTAGAGTGGTGACCGTGACCTCTGAACCCGGAAACAGCGCCGAGTTCCCGCCCTGCCTTGGCCCGCAGGCCTTGCTGGTAGCTTCTGACAACTGCATGACCCTGCGCAGTGTCTTGGGCGGAGGCAGCCACCGCCTTCCTGGGCCACACAGCGTCACTTTCCATGGCTGCAGCTCCCACAGGGAGCTCCCGGATCAGCACAGGCCAGGCAGGGACGCTTGGCCACACGGGAGTCGAGGCTGGGTCCCTCCTCACATCTTCTTCCTCATCTTGCCCTTCTTGGAGTGGGCCCCCCGGCCGAAGGCCCCCCGCTGCAGCTCCTGGACCCGGCGGCGGTTGCGGACAGAGAGCTGCTTGAGGCCTCCGCGCTGCAGGAAGCGCATCTTCTGGGCCCGCCGCCGCTGCTTCAGGATTTGCTGCTTGGTCTTCAGCTCGGAGCGCACGTGGCCAGAGGGGGCGGCCGGACTGCGGGACTGGGCTGCACCTGCCAGGACAGGGATTTGGGGTGCTCAGCCTTGCCCAGCGGCCTCTGGAGGCTCCCCTGCCCCACTCCCATTAGTGTTCACTGCCCGGGCCTGGCATCTGGCACACGGAGGTGTCTGCAGGAGCTCGGGCAGTCTACCGGTCAGTAGGTGTGGGCCACAGGCCAGGGCTGCGGGGCTTCAGATCCCGGCTGTGCCCTCTGGGAACTAAGGCAAGTCATAACTTCTCTGAGCCGCAATTTCCCACTCTGTGAATCATGAGTAACAGCACCTACCTCGTGGGGCCCAGGGAGAGCAAAGGAACTATATGAGCAGTGCTTCGAGCAGGTGCCACCTCCCAAGCGCAGCCGTTATGTTACAAATCACTCAACTGCAGACCCAGCAGTGAGCACACAGACCCCACTCCCTGTCTCCCTCACGCTCAGGCTCTTAGATGAAAAAAGGCTATAGCTGAACCTTTCTCGGGCAGGGCCAGGAAAGGCATTTGTCCAATCACTCAGCAAAGTGGCAGCAGCAGAGGGCACCTACCAGGCGCCCTGGCCGCTCCCTAAGCCCAGGGTCACCCTCCTGTCCCATCACCCTCGCTGCCCAGCTCCTCCCCACCCACAAGTGACCTCTGCAGGACTCCCTCAGGGAGGGCTACTGAGTCGGCCCCAGGTGAGACTCTTGTCTGGAGCCTGGGAGCCTAACAAGGACCCATCACTCCAAGGCGCACAAAGCGCAGGGGACAACAACTGCTCTCCCCGCAGCTGAAGGGTGGATTAAGGCCAAGGGAGGCAGGGACAGTCTGCAGACAGGGACTCTGGGGGAGGGGCACAAAGGAGAGAGAAGGGCAGAGGCAAACCAAGAGCCCGAGACTGGGAGAGGCGCAGGTGGAGACAAGGCGGCGATGAGCAGCGGGTGGGGCAGGGCTCCAAGGCCACCTGAGCCCAGACGCGGAGATGGGGCAGAGACAAAGATGGAGAGAAACAGGGCTGCAGAGCGGCAGAGAAGGGCAGAGGCAGAGGCAGAGGCAGACGGGAGACAGGAGAAAAGCCACCGGCAGGCAGGAGAGCAGAGAAGCCGCAGGAGGAAGATGAGGCTCAGAGACACGGGAGGGGAGAGCCCAGTCCCGAGGGTGGGATGGGGTGGCAGGTCATGGGGTGACTCCGGGCCAGGCCCTCTCCTTGTGAGTCTCCTCCCAGGCCACACGTGGGCAAGCGGAAGCCCTCAGCCCGCTCCCCCGCGGCGGAGGGGGTGGGCAGGGCCGGCTCCTGTCCCCCGCCCCGAGCACTGACTTAGGGCCGCGGCCCCGGCCTGGCCGCCCTGCACGAGCTCTGGCAGAGCCGGGCTCCAGGGCCACCTGCGCCCTTCCCGGGCCGCGGGAGCCAGGCCGGGGGAGAGGACCGAGGCCAGGACCACCGTGCAGCGGGGAAGAGCCCCGGGAGGAGCCCCGCGGGCGCTCACCTGGGCCTCGGCCCCACCTCCCACCTCTCCGGGCGGGGCCCCGCTGGTGAGCCGGCCCCTCGTCCTCCGAGTCGCGATCGTCAATTTTCTGTTTCTGCTTCCACTTCTGGTAGCTGGCGGCGGCGTTAAGGAGGCAGCGTGCAGCCCCGGACGGCCCTGCCACCCCGGCCAGCAGGGACGGCCCCACCCGGCGGGGAGGGGCAGCCCCAGCGGGCCAGGCCCCGGCCCGAACCCCACCCAGTTAGTACCCTGGCCCCGCCCCGCCCCTCCGGATACAGGTCCCGCTTGTAGGAGCTGCTGATGTAGCGGCCACTCTCGGTCTTGATCTTCTTCTTGTCCTCCTGTCCCGACTGCCCCACAAACCGCTTCTTCTTCCGGTCCCTGCGGGAGAGGGTGGAAGGCCCCACGGAGGCGTGAGCAGGAGGCCTGCTTCCCCCCAGGGCCCTCTCAGTGCTTGATGGAGAATTCTGAAGCGCCAGGCCCTAGCCTGCCTCCTCCCTCCCTGCAGCCAGGTCTCCAAGGCAGCGGGTCAGGGGTCAGCTCCGCAAAGGACTGGGTCAGGGACCAGCCCCCGGAGGGTTCTGGGGCTCTGGGCTGAATCCCATCACCTCCCTAGAATCAGTCTAGGTGGGCACAAGGGTCAGACGAGTCAGCAAGAGGACGGGCGCAGTCAAGATCCCGGTTGTGGTGATCACACCAAGGGGACAGACAGACAGGCAGGGGTCATAATTCGTGCTGTGCAGGATGAACTGGGGGGGTCACGTTTCTTGGGGCGTCAGATGGGCTGAGGGAAGGAGGGACTCGTGCCTGTCCCGTGGGCCGAGCGAGGGGCACAGCAGTCCCAGCTTGCTGCTCACTCACCACTTGAGCTGCTGCCGCGTCCTGGTCAGGTTCTGGCCTTCGTCCCCCATCAGGTCCAGGACCGCGCCCGCCACCTGCTGCTCAAAGGCACCCCCGTCCCCACCGACGCTCAGGCTGCGGAGGTAAAGTACGGACATATGATGGGGCTGGTGGGCCCATGAGACCCACCTGCCCCACCCTGGGCTCAGCGGCCACTCACCCCCGCTCGCTGTCGAAGTCCTTGGGCCGGTAGGGGACGTAGAATTCCTGGTCCCGCTGGCGGGCCCCTTCCCTCCGCCTCTTGGCATCCCGCTCAAGTCCTGGCTGTTGCCGCTTGCGGCCCACGACCTCTGTGAAGATGTCCTGACAGACCCAGGCCCAGGGGTGACTGTCACCCCTACAGCCCCTGGGGAGCCCACAGGGCCGCCCCACTCCGCAGCCTACCCAGAGCCGAGGGCCAGAGTTTCCAGGAGTAAAAGCTGTGTGTTGCCATGCACAGTCTCATCTGCACACGCAGCCCCCCACCTCCACTTCAAGCCCAGCAGAAGCAGGACTGGAGGAGGCCTGGGTGAGGGGGGGGCAAGATGTGTCCAGCCCCTGCTCAGTCCAGTGTGACCAAGGCTGTGTGACCAAGGCCCAGCCCTGCCCCTCTCCGGGCTGGCCTTGCCCTAGAGAACATGAACCAGACCAGGGGGTTTCCACTGCACTTGTGGGCTGAGCTTTCTACCCGGTCAAATGTGAGAGGAACATGGCGGGCGAGCAGGCCCAGGGCCTGGCCCACGAGGTGATGGGGACACCTCTGTGGTTGGCATCCCAGCCTTCCCATGCTGAGGCCCCATGTAGGCCGCTGCCCTCCCCCGCTCTGCCTCTTTCTGCCTGCCTGGGACCTCGGGCTAAGACAGACAGTGACGATGACAGTGCCAGAGGCACCCCTGGGCCCACCCCCAATCATTCTGAAAATGACCAGTGCACTCAGTGGCAAAAACCAACCTGAGCAGAGGAGAGGTTGCCCAGTCTGCATCTGTCCCCTGGGTTTGGGGACCTGCTTGCCTCCCAAGGGACCTGACACCCCAGACACTGCCGAGAATGTTAGGTCACACACAGTGCCCGTACCCCAGATTCTGAGCCCTGGGGTTTTAGACAAGGGGCAGGACAAGGGCTGTGCCCCCTCCTGCAGACAGGGAGGCTGAAGGTCAGTGGCCAGGGTGGACTGGCTCACTGCATCCCCCAACCCCAGGCGCCGACACCACCAGGGTCCTGAGCAGGAGCACGCACCTCCACACTCTCCCTCACAGCCGCCTCCTCCTCCTCCTGCTCGGGCTGCGTCTCCCGCGGGGCCGGGCAGCTCAGGGCTCGGCTGGTCAGGCCCTCCTGCCGGTCCTGCCGCCCCTGCTGGAAGCTGGCGATGGCCTTTCGGTCCTTCTGCCGCTTGGCTCGCATCACCTGGCTGCTCAGGTCCCGGCTGGAGGCGTTGATCTCAAAGATGGTCTGTGGAGAAGACACCCCAGCTCTTCACCCACTGATCCTCCCCAGTGCCATCGTCCCCACCTTGGCGGACTCTTTATACATTCCTCGCAAGGCCGTCTCCTCTGTGAGGCAGGTACTCTCGTACCCGTATTTCACAGCGAGAAAGGGAGGCCCGGAGTGGGCCAGTAACCTGCCCAAGGTCACGCAGCTGGGGGAAGCCAGGGCTAAGACTTCAGCCCCGGTTCACCAGGGCTCGGAAGCAGAACACCCTCCAGCTCCCCTTTCCTGATACTGGCAGGCTGGGCCGGCCTGGGTAGTTCTCACCTCACTTTTGTGTATCCCACCCAGAGGCACCAGGTGGGGTGTCCAGTGGGAGGCTCAAGGTGATCTAAAGTCAGCTCCTCAGGCCTCTATCAGGCCCTGGCGGGTCACCTGCTTCCGTGAGCCTCAGTCTACCCATCTGTGGTGGTGGGAAATGACTGCCACACGGGGTCCTGCTGTGGACCAGTGGGGATGGTTCCAGAACAAGGGGCATCTCTGGAGATGCTTGCAGAGCCGGGGATGCAGGTGAAGAACCTGCAGGCTCAGCTGGAAACTTCTGCTGGGAGTCAGGAGCAGCATTTGAGCATGACCCCGTCACCCCGCTCCAGCAGCTTGGCCGCCCCCCACTCACCGCCCGCGAGCGGTAGTTCTTGATGCTGTCTACCAGCCTCAGCCGCTGCAGCTCCTTCTCCTCGAAGCGTGAGCCTGGTGGACAGGGAGGTGTCAGGCCAGGGGCAGCTATGCAGGGCCTGCCTGTGGCCCTTCCCCACCCCGGCTGCGACTCACTGAAGAGGGGGTGCAGGCCCAGCTCTGCCAGGTCCAGCTCCTTGGCCCTCTTGATGGACTCGGGTGAGGGCGCCGGCCGAGAGCGCACGTACTGCTGCTGGGCGTTGTCGGCCACGCGGCCCAGGCCTCGCAGCTCCAGCGAGTTCTCCAGCGTGGTCCGCAGGCCGCAGTCCTCGTCGTCCACCACGCCCTGCGGCACGCGGCCCAGCACTCCGTCCCCGCCCGGTGCGCCTGCCGGCCCACAAACGACCAAACAGAGAAACGGTCACCATGGAGCAGCTCTCGGACTGGCCCAGCACGTCCACCTTAGACGGCAGCTTCATGTGAGCGCTGCCTGGCCTGTCGGTTCCTGTCTCCTGTGGCCACCTTTGCACACGAGGGCAGGGAACAGGCCCACCTACAGCCTGGAGTCTCAAATAGTGACTGCGTGGCCTTTGAGAAAAACCGTTCTCACGGAGACCAGTGACTCTGCAACACCCCCATTTTACAGACAGGAAATGGAGGCCCAGAAGAGGCTCCTCCTCACCCTGTTCTGTCCTGCCTGTTTCCAAACTGCCCCTGGCACAAGCGCCCCAGAGCTCTGGGAAGCCCCGGCTGGCTGGTAGTCACTACCACAGCCAATGTGGTACGGTGAGGGCCAGGCATCAGGCGGCGGGGTGCCATGCCCTGTGCTCACTCCCTGCCGGGGCGGCCCCCTCAGCAATGGGCTCCCCCTCCCTGCTGTGGGCAAGTAACTTGATTCAGTTTGTTGAGCAACCCTCCCAGGTGGCCATGGCCACACGAGAGGACTGGCATTGAGGACCTTACAATCCCACCCGCCCACCCTGAAGGAGAGTTCTGTGCGCACAGCCTGACCCTCCTTGCTCTCTCTCCCTGCGCTGGTCTCCCCGAAAACTCAGTCTCAAGTTGACGACTTCAAGGGCTGGGCAGGTGCATGGACAAGAGAAGCAGGCTGGTGGGGGATGCAGTGAACCTGGGGTCCACCTAGTGAGGGTGCCATGGTGTAGTATGGCCTTAACAGTTACCCCGGAAAAAGCATGCTCACCCGGGCCGTGACCGCCTGCCTTCTGACAAAAGGCAGGAACACAGATTTTTATGTAAGATACTGAATTTAAAATACAGGGGTCAAATCCAGCCCTACCTCTTCCCACAGCAGGACACTTCATCCCCTAGGCCCATACCGTAGACTCGAGGGGGACCCCAGCCCTGCCCCAGCCTCCACGCACCTGAGGGCTCCTCGTGGGGCGGGCAAGGGTGAGGGCACGGCCCAGGAACAGGTGCAGGTCCAGCAGGTAGGGAACCTCGTCGGGGGCCACCAAGGAGTAGGCTGTGCCACTTCGACCAGCCCGGGCCACACGGCCTGCGGGAGCAAACAGTGGTCAAGATGGAGCAAACACAAGTCCTGAGGCCAACACAAGTCCCATTTCCTGAACCCCAAAGGTATGAGTCAAGCCAAGGCCATGCCTCAAAGAGGAGCCCCCACAAAGGGGGAAGGCACACTGACAGTCACCAGGTTCCTGCACCTGGGACTTGGGAAGTTTGCAGGAGTAAAGACAAAGCACTGCACAGTGTCAGTATCAAAGTCTTCAGCAGCCCCACTTTGGGAATTCTCCCCAAAGAAATAACCAAGTTTACAGATTCACACACAGGGATGTCTGCTAGGATCTGTCTGAACAGCCCCAAGTTGGAAACCACCTAAAGGCTTAAGGACAAAGGGCTGGTTAAGGTAATTATCTGATGGCCCCACCATGGGAATTATACAGCTGAGGGCAGGGGCCAGCCAAGTGGCCCAGCAGCCAAATTCGGCCCTCCACCTGTTTGTGTAAATAAAGTTTTATTGGCACATGATCATGCTCATTTGTTTACATACTGTCTAGGACAACAGCAGTGATCAGCAAAACTCTGGTCCCAAAGCCACAATACTATCCAGGCCTTTTCAGCAACAATCTGCTGACCCGTCGTAGAATTATGACACTGAATGGTGAATGGAAACACGCCTGATGCACAGACGCAGGACAGGAAAGAACGTCCAGTGAGGCTCCAATTCTGTGACAAGTGAATCCACACGTGGCCTTACATTTTGGCCTGTTTCTGCTTCTTGCACAAAATATCACCACATTTGGAAGTGGCCTAATGACACTGGTGGTCACATCATGCATGAGTAATTCCCTTTGGGGGTTCTGGGGACCCCTCAAGGAATGTGCAAAGTCAGCCTTCCCAGAGCAATGGGAACTTGGAAACAGCAAGAAGTGACCAACAGAAAGGTGGACCCAAGCCGGAGACCCAGATGAGGCCTCCTGTGCAGCCGGACTAAGGTCAAGGCCCAGGCCACCAGGGAAGCCAGCATCTCCTCCTTCACTGCTGTTCAGTCTATGCAGATGGATGCAAACAAAGTTGCGGGGCCCCTGGCACACAGGGTGACGTCAGAGGGAGTGTGACACAGCTAACCCGAGTGATCTGGGAGGGCTGAGGGGCAGGTGGGGCTGACCATGCAGTGACAAGGTAGGGAGCCCAGAAGTCCAGTGGCAGCAGATGTGGCGGGACACAGAGGGCTGGGTGTGGCGTTTGAAGGCTGCACAGGCGCTGACAAGATGGCTTCAGGGAGAGGGCTTCAGGGGGGAGGGGACTGAAGAGTCATGTCATCAAGGATCCGGGAAGTGGAGGGGCTGCCCACCAGAATCCTGCCTGTGCCCTCAAGATGAGAGAAGCACCCCCTTCTGGCAGCCCAGACACCCTCTTACCCACGCGGTGCAGAAAAAGCTTGCCCTTGGCGGGGAAGCTGTAGTTGATGACGTTGTCTAGCAGCGGGATGTCCAGGCCCCGGGCTGCCAGGTCGGTCACGATGAGGGCAGAGCACTTGCCATGTGTGAACTTGGCCAGGTTGATCTTGCGGGCCGTCTGGTCCAGGGCGCTGTAGATGTGGGCGCAGCTCACCCGCTGGGTTGTCAGCAGCTGCCCGGAGAGAAGAAGGAGGTGGGGAGGTGAGGAGGAGGCTGGCAGGAGAGGCGGCCAGGCCTTGGGGGGCCAGGGAGGGGGTCAGGTAGAACACAGGTTCTCAGGTCTCAGCCAGAAGCCCTGCTGTGCTGGGCACCCCAGTTTGTTATCTTCACCAGTACAAACAGGGCTTATGGGACCCCCTGCCTCACTGTGGGGTTAATGCAGAGATGCCAACACAGGCAGGGGCTGCGAGTGCCACCCAGGATACAAGCCTCCTCCTGACCGTCACTAACAAGCTGTGTGACCTCGGGCAAGTCACCTAACACCTCGGTGCTTCTGCTTTCTTCACCCTAGAACGGGGAGAACAGCCCCTGCTCGGCAACTTTGCTAGGAGGCTAAAAAAGTCAGCGCACACACGGGCTGAGAAAGGCCCAGGGCACAGGCGCACAGGCAGGCGAACTGCTATTTCAAAATCTCTATTTTGATCTTACTCATCCATGACCCTGGCAGCTGCAGAGGAGGCACCGTTAATGCAAGTCAAGTAAGCGAAACCCAGCGAGCCTTGAACTTAGCCCCAGACCGGGAAGGGGCCCGGTGGCCTTCAGGGCCCAGGACATCCCCTTGCTGTGGCTGAGGGACACGGGTACACACGTGAGGAAAAGCTCCTCAGACCGCCTGCCTGGGCCAGGACATGCACTCAGCTCACTGCAAGCAGGGAGCACTCGATTAAAAACGTGAAGCACAGGACACTGAAAATCTACGGAAGAGGAAAGGAGAGCAGGCCAGGAGCTACTTCAAAATAACCTGGGTGGAAGGAGGAACCGAATCAAGGTGGGCTATGACCTGATAACCGAGTAGCTGGCGGTCCTTTACCTACTTTGCGGCCTTCAGTATGTGTTGAACTTTTTTTAAGTAAAAGTTGGGAGCACGGGCCAGCCCGTGTCCCGCTCTGGTGCTGCCCCCTGGTGGCCATGCAGGGAACCGCAGCTGCAAGCTGGTGCCACACCCCCGCCCCCCACCACACACCTGGCGTCAGGGCCCCTCACCTCACTGAGGTACTCGGCATGGTGCTTTGTGGCCACAAACACCACTGTCTGGTCCTGCGGCCGCACCACATTGCGCAGCAGGTGAAGCAGCACGGCAGCCTTGGTGTCCTCACGCACAAGGAAGAAGGAGGTCTGTGGGGAGAGGGGCCCCTGTGTTTGTACCTCGGGGCCCACCTGACAGGCGGCCTGGAAAGGGGCAGGGGCGTAGGCCTCACCTTGAGCTGCTCGTTGAGTTTGGCATCCACATCTAGTCGGATGAGCACAGGTTCTGTGAGGCCTGTGGTGGGCATGGGGTGGGTAGAGGAGTCAGGAGACAGGGCCCCCCAATTCCTCCTCAAGTCCCTGCATGGCTCCCCTGCCCACTCACCTGCCCGGGCAAACTCCACCAGCAGTTTGGGCAGAGTGGCGGAGAACAGGACTGTCTGGTGGCCCCCCGGGAGGCGCGCGATGATTTCCTGCAGTTGCTCTGCGAACCCCATTTCAAAGAGCCTGGAGTGCAAAGGGCAGAGGTGAAGGGCAGGGCTGTGTCAGGGCAGGGGCTTCCTTCTAGTGAGTTCCAAACCCTCCATCCTGCCCCAAGGACACCGTCTGCCACATGGACTTGTGTTGGCCTCACCTGTTTCTTTAATTCAGCCCTTTTCTCTCTATTTGACAACGTTCCCTAAGCAGTGATGACCTTGAGCACTTGAGCCGGTTCCCAGGTATGTTTCTTACGAATTCATATTGACCCTCACCCTGTGCCGGCCCCGGATCTGAGGAGCTCACAGACATCAGTGAGTCTGTCCCCACCGCACCTGAGAGGTGCCTGCTAGGCTAGCCCCACGCTGGGCCCAGAAACCCTGGGTCATTGGCCCAAAGTCACAGGGCTTTGACTCTGCCCTCCTGGCTCCAGACTGCTCTCAACTGGGTGGGTGTTATTATTTTCTTCAGTATTCCTGGATGTAAGATAAACTAAAAATGACTGGTCCTGGGAGCTCCAGAGATCAGCTCCAGGACTGCCCGAGGTTCATGGCCCACATTTGTGGCTTCCATCTTGGCCACATAGGTCTCCCCTGGGCAACTTCACACCCCCCACCCCCTCAGGTGCACCGAGTGTACATGCTGCCTTACCTGTCGGCCTCATCGAACACCACGTACTCCACGCTCTGCAGCTTCAGGTTCATCTCCACAGCCACATGCACCAAGCGCCCAGGCGTGGCAATGATTCTGGAAAGGGGTGTGCAGGCCAGGTCACCCCTGGCCCACGGCCACCAACCACAGCCCCCCTCTTCTGCCCAGTTGTTGGTCGCCTGGAAAGGGCCCCAGAGTACCATCCCCCATCCACAGACTCACATGTCGGGATTTTCGTGCAGGGCCGCAAACTGGTCTTCCATTCTAGGGGGAAAAAGTGTCCCTTTAGTGCCTCTCCCTTCTCATACCCAAATGCCCAGGAGTCCCCACACCTTGCCCTCAGGCTTAGAACTGGGGAAAGGTTATTACTGCCATACTAAGAAAAGGCATTGCCTTGATAAGACAGACAAGTTCAAACGTATAAAAAATTTGCTACAACGAAGAATTCCCCATGAGCAACAAGGCTGCCTTGGCCCACAGCGCCACCCAGCAGCCGCCCACCCTGGAACTGCTGCCTGCTCCACCAGGAGTCCGGGCTTCCCCTGGAATCTGAGCTTGCACCCCCTAACTTTAGTCCTCCTCGGAAACACGCCCGGGACACCTGGAGGAGCCAAAAGTCTGGGCCAGGCTGAGCCCAGGATAGCACTTCTAACAATCACAAGCTACAGAATTAGTAAAATGGGCAAAAGAGCACTGAAAAAGAAAATCAAGGGTGACCAGTGACAGTGACATTCTGAGAGAACAAGAAACTGGGGGAGGGGCAGTAAAGGCGCAGGAGCCGGGGTCCTGATCTCGGGTCTGGGCCAGCCATGGCCTGAGTCTTTTCATCCGTGAGACGGGAAGGCACCGCACATCAGCCAACGACACGCTTTGCAGATCTGAGCAGTCACAAACCACCCTCGAGTTTTGTGCCGTGGACTCTGAGACCACCACACTCGGGCTACCGAACCTCACAACTACGCGGCCCACTCGGGTGCCCTGGCACCACCCCAGACTTCTCCCAGGAGCGCCGGAGTCTTTGTCCAAGCGCACGTGGCAAGCTCTTTGGGAATTGTACTGCACGTTTCCCCGGTCAGTATCTGGATGTGCCAAGAAGCTGCTGGTGCTAGTAAGCCCGCAGGCCCGGTCTCCCTGGCCCGAGGCACAGGGTATGCCTGCATCAGGGGTGCGGGGGCTCTTACTTGTCCCCGCCCAGGATCAGGGCAGTCTTGAGGCCGGTGAACTTGCCCAGCTGTAGGGGGAAGAGAGAGAGGATGAGGGAGATGACTCGGCCACTCATGCCCCCCAGCAGGTCCCAACTCAGCCCTGCCCTCCCCCGCCCGGCCTGACCCACCTCCTTGGTGAACTTCATGTCTGCAGGGCCAGCTCCCGGGTGGGAGAAGGACAAGAGCGCGGGCCCCGGTCTGGGCGCTGCGGGTCTTGAGCCGCTCAAACATGGGGATGAGGAAGCAGCCGTCTTGCCGCTGCCCGTGCGGGCCATGGCCACCACGTCCTTGCCGTCCAGGATCACCGGGATGGTCTGGAGAGGGTTGAGTGGGGGAGGAAGAGGGTGAGTCCTGCACCCAAGTACTTGAGGCCTGTGATCCAGAGCTTCGAGGCCTTGAGGAATGGGCCAACTAGGGAGTCCCACTGCAGGGAACTGAGCACCCTCTTGCTAAAGCTGCCCGTACAGCCTCCGGGATGCACCACCCCCTGCTCTGTGCCGGGACGGAACGTCCTTCAGGCAGAGGCTGACCCTGTCTAGTCCTCCGCCTCAGGCCCCCAGAAAAACCTGGTCTCTCTCAGCTAAAGACTTGATGATAACAATCCTGGGTGATACTGGGGTGCCTGCAGGGTACTTGCTGGGGCTCAGCAGTGGGCAGCCTCCAGGAGACTCAATGGCAGAGGCCCAGAGTCAAGGTCTGCTCTGCTGGGGCCAACTTTTTCCACCTATGAAATGGGCAAGTTTGTGGGACTTCGCCAGAGCAGGGTGGGGGGGTCACAGATGTGCCAGCGGGACACGGGGTGCTGCTGCTTGCCCCACCCCACCCAGGAGCCCCCCGCCGTACCTTCCTCTGGATGGGCGTGGGCACCTTGTAGCCCTTCTTCATGATGCCTTTGAATACTGGATAGCTCAAGCCTAGGAGAGACAGGGAATGGCCAGGGAGGTGGGGAGTCCTCTGTACCCCCCTAGAAAACCACCCAGGCTGAATGTGAAGTGTCAACAAGCAAACAGCAAGAAAAAAGGAACTTGATAGAGCAAAGTGGAGAGCTCCTGAGACTTAGAGGCAACTCTGCCAACAGCGATTCTGACTCGAACACTCTAGATGCCCCTGCTGCACCCCAATGCCCCCATGTCTGCTCACTCACCCATGGACTGGAAGCCGCCCGACTTCTTCTTCTTCTTGTTCTGGGCCTCACATCCCCTCCCGCGTGTCCGGCTCCACGTCCGACATGCATTCTGAGGCGGGGAAGGCGGGCAAGGGTCTGCCAGGACCCGGCTGGGGGGAGAACAGAGTGGCAGGGTCACTCGAGGCCCCACCAGAACACGGGGGACTGAGGGCGCTGATGGGGGCATGTTGCCCATCAATCTCCCCAATTCAAGCTGCAGCCTCTCCTGCCAGATCATATGGCAGCTGCAAAGGCACCCCCTGGCTGGGCCAGGTTCAGAGTGGGCACCATGGCGGCTGCCGACCGGGTCTCAATCGCAGCTAGGGTGAGGGGTGCGATCTCCCCAGCCTCTGTCTGCACATCTGGGAATTGGGGATGACAAGAGCCTAAACCTCCCATAATGCTGTGAAGACGAAATGGGAAGGGGTGGCCAGCACTGCCCACCGCCGGCCATCGCATCGCCACCCCACCTGTCAAGGCCCTGGAAACTTAAAGACTTTAGGGAGCCAATGAGAACACCCACCCGTGCGAGGAAATAGGCTTTTCCAGCTGCCCTGCCCCCACCCAAGCCCCTCCCTGATCCCTCACCCCTCCCTGACTCAGGGCTCTCCGGCCTGGCTCAGAGCTGCCTTCCAGGGCCCAACCCTGACGCCCCTTCCTGGGGAAGCTTCTCGCCCACAGGGCTTCAGAATGACAGCTAAACCTTCCCAGGCACTTACTACAAGCCGGGTGCCCCTGAGCTTCTGAGAAATGAACCCACTTAATCCTCAAAACAACCCTGTGCGCGGCGCTGTTACTCTGTCCCTTTCACAGTTGAGAAGGAAACTAAGGCGCAGAGAGGCGAGGAGCCCTGTCCAGGCCACACAGCCAGCTCCGGGGGCTGGACATGAGCCCTGCTTCAGGGTCCATGCACTTGCCACTGTGACCCTCTGTGCGGGGCCCATCACCCCAAGGTCAAAGCTGCAGCCTACCCCGTGGAGTCGTGAGCTAAGAAGGGTTTTCACATTTAAAAAATTGTAAAATAACCAAACAAAAAAGACAATAACACTAGATAGCCCTGCAGAGCCTAAAGTCTTTACCATGTGGTCCTTTCCAGGAAAAGCTTGCCAACCCCTGCTCGGGACGCACCGGGGGCCCAACAATGTTTGCTGAATGAGTAGGCCATGTGGACACATGGATGACCCTCTCTGCTGTCTTGGAGGCAAACCTGCCTTCTCTACATGTGGAAACTGAGGCACAGAGACATTAAGCAGCTTCTCCTTTGCCCGGCAGCCAGTACAGGGTCTGGGCGGATCTGCACAGAGTTTCCTTCTGCAAAGCCCTTAATCTGAAAGGCGTATGCGGCTGGTCTTCTGCACCCTCTGCTGTTCACCACCTTCTTCCACATTTATGGACACCGCTGGGTGCTGGGCGCTGACTCCGCTGGGGTGGAGACGCTGCGGAGTTCTGGCTCTGAAGGGAAGGTGCAGCCCTTTCCCCTGTAAGCGCCCACTCTTGCATCTACCTACCCTGAGCCTGCTCGTGTCAGGCCAGGGCAGAGCACAGAGATGGGGTGGGGGTCATGGGTTACAGCTGTCCCCCGCTGCTCACAGGCCCGCCCCCCTCTCCCCATCTGTACACAGCTGGCACTCCGTGGTGCACGCGGAGCAGACCCCGGGGCCGGGATGGCAGCTGGCTCTCCCTCCCACACACCGAGACTGTGATCGAGCTCCTCCAGCCCCCTCGGCCTCAGCTTCTCCCTTGGAAAACGGGGTGATCGTACTTAGGCCACAGGGTTGGGGTGCGGATTAAGGCAGGCGCGTAAAGCTCTGCGCACGACCGGGCCCGCAGGGAGCAGGCTCCGTCTAGGATTAGCTTCCCGGGGGTTTGGGGGCGTCACCGTCTGCAACCACGTGGCTCGGCCCCCCTCACTCAAGTTCCCAAGAATTCCCCAAACTCTCCAAGTCACACCGTCGGCGCCCACACTTTCCATTGGCCGGATGGGCACGGGGGCCCGCCCCCTGGGCGGACGGTGGCCAATGAGGGGCGCAGGCTGCGCCGCCGGCCGGGAGGCCCCAGGCCCCGGCCCCAGCCCGGGCCCCCGACCTCGCCCGCGGCCCGCGCCCCCGCCGCGCCCAGCCCGTCCCGGGCCGCGCGCCCCGGCGGGCCCCACCCCCGCGCGGGGAGCCCGAGGCGCGGGGCGAGGGCCGGGCCCCCGCGCGCACCGCCCCGCGCGCACCTTCGGGCCCGCACGTCGTCCTCCGCCTGGACCTCGAACTCGCCGTCCTCCGAGTCGCTGCTGCGCGCCTGGGCGGCCGCGCCCCGGCGCCTCCGGAGCCCCTTCTTCTTCCTCCACTGGGCCATGGCCGCGCGAGACCGAGGGCCGGCCGCCGGGCGCGTGCCGGCCGCCATGCGGGCCGGGCGCAGGGCAGCGGGAAGGGGCGGCGCCTGCGGGGACGCACCCACTGCGGGCCGGGGGCGCCCCCTCTGCGCCGGGGCGCCCCCCCCTCCTGCCGCGCGCGGAGGCTTGGAACGCGCGCACACCCCCTCCGGGGCGCGGGGCGCCCGTCTCCGAGGCTTTGGGAAACTTGGGGGCGTCCGGAACGGGGCGTCCCCCCCGGGCGGGAATGGTTCCGGCCGCGCCCCGCC